CCCGCCCCCCCCGCCGGCTCTCTCCCTCCCTCTTCTCTTTTCTCCACCCACATCCACAGCGTCAAGCAAGAGTAAAAACTGCAAATACGTAAAATTTGTACCAAATTGTGTGTATTAAATGATCAGACAAAATCGTGACTACTGTATGTTTAAGGGATTAGTAGGATTCACTAATCCGACTCTCTATTGGTCTGGCGTGCAAGCATTGGTAAAATATTTAGCTAGTTTAGCATTTTTGGTCAAACAATGTTGGAATGGAGACGCTGACTAACATTTTTTTCTCGTCCAATTTTACCCCTATAGCTTCACCCAAATCAGCCCAGTGCCCACTGTAAAATCTACTACTGAAGTTATTTGAGATTTACAAGATAATATGTAATGTGAGAGCGATATTACGTTATCGTTGTGGTATCATTATTCAATAAAAAAATAACATGTAAATAAGTGAGTTCCGCATGTTTTTAGTAACTACTCTATACATGAAAGAAAATAACTATAATATATAAAGAAGTGACGTGGACCTGATTCACTTGTAAGTTTGTTATTTGATTATGTATATTTATTGTATATTATTTATACGATAGACGTGTATGATGAAAGTATTTTAATATCACCTAAAGAAGTGATATTATAATGAAAATCAAATGTATTATTGTACACATTTATTATTATAATCACACAACTGATAAAATCAAGCTATCATCAACGTAACAAACACCGATTGATAATATTTTTTTTAATTTAACATTAATACAATGAAATAATTTCTTAACTAAACAACAATTTGAACTAAATAACTATTATTTAGAGGTTATATTGTGTATTGTCAAACAATAGATAAAATTATGTATTATTTTAATACTCTATTTAATCTTATCTTTTATTAATTTGTATTATATTAGAATGAATTTATTTATTCAATCAATTTATTTCTAATACAACAACCGGACGGATTCCTCTAATGGCAAGTGCCTAGGTGCAAATGTGATATTAAGTTCGTCATATATTCCTTTGCTACCAATAAGTTTTTCCCTTCAAGGTGACCGGGCGAACCCTACCACAAGCTATGGATAAAAACCTCAAATCACCTTCAATCAAGAATAGACTCAATCTGACATGAATGTAGGCTAAAAATGGCTATTTTTTGACACTAAAACGCAAATAATTTAAAATTGATACTGTTGCAGCAGGGAGAGATTCTAGATCTTTCGTTCTAATTATAATTATCAAAATTGGATCAAATATCGAACTACTAAAGAGATCGAGTTAATGGATCATTAATTCAGCCTTTGAGTCAATTGATTGAACCGGTTGGATAATAAAAAATAAAATATATTGTTAATAATGATGAAATACAAGAAATTTTGAATAGGTACAAAAATAATATTATTATGCTATGATAGATCAAATAAGAACACAAAAATAATTCACCAATTATCTATTTTCTTAGATAATTTATACCATCTAAAATAGTATCAACAATCCACAAATAAGAATTGCGTATTGACATAAATAGTAATATTATGATGATAAAATAATAAGATTAAAAAAAATTACAAAGTAATAAAAGGAGACTAACAGTACATTGCTAACAACGTATTTCACATCGAAAAACAAGAGCAGAAACGAAGTATTAGTCGCAGAAGTATGGCCTTGGGTTAAGTGCCTCATACCATCTATGTATCAGTTTAAACGTTTTATTCCAAAGCAAAATGCGATCCACTTGGATTGGTTGAACCGTCCGATTTACATTGATTTTGTTAGAATTTGTTTGGTTCGACTAGGTCTTTAGCAATTTGATTACTTAAGTGATCCAATTCTAGAACCAGACCGATTTAAGATTCGGTTCACTGGTTTACCGATTGGACCTGCCATTCTAGTCTAATTTTGAAAACATTGCTTTTGATTAAACACATAGGCTACTAGATACTATCTAAAAGATTAATTAAAATTATGCTTAAATGAACACCTATTTAAACTTAATTTTACCTTCTTACAATGATATTGCAATTAAGCGTGAGAACTCATTTTCAACCATCACAACCCTTTAAACTCATGAAGATTAGTATATTAATTTTATCAATTTTAATGTTCAACGCTCAATCTCTCACAGTGATCCCCAATGACAACAAACACAACCAAACAACTATGTATAATGTGAATATTCAAACAATCAATTTATTAAACACATAATGTCCGTGTGTGCTCAAATTGCAAATGTATATGTAAAAATAATAAAGAATATAAGTAATTTGTCAATGCAAAAACCATCTTCGAGAGAAACTGCGAGAAACCTCTCTAGGGTTTACCAAAGCCTAATCAATTATCCTAAAGTCAGTTTACAAATATTCGAGACTTATATTTCAACTAATATTGTGGTTAGATGTTCTTTTCCTTCAATAAACCTCTCTGTCGAAAGTCCCTCTTCGACGTTATGGATAGTTTCACTTGAATTCCCTACCACATAGTTCGTTTAGCCCTTGAACGACTTTCTTTGCCAAGATCCTCGGTATGCACACTTCAAATGGATTTGGTTCAACCAACCAACTTCTTCTTCTCCAAGATGTGGGATTAGATTGGAATCACAAAATGGTAGCCATTGAATTTTGGGGATCTAGGATTCTAGTGTGATCTCTAAAGGTTTAGAGGCTAAAAATATGTTTCACAAAAGAGATTACCCTAGTTGGGAAGCCTCCATCTATTTATAGCCTCAAAATAAAGTTTGTCTTAAGGTCCAAGAAAATAAAAATTTATGAGCAACTGCTCGAGAAATGGAAGATCGGTCAGAGAACGGTGGTAATTGTAAAGAAAATTGAAATCAACCCATAATTATAGAGTAAGGAACAATTAAGTGTTGTCCGAATTTGATATTGACAATTTACGTGCAAGTATACACGATCAACAAGTAATAAAGTGATAAGTAGAGTATCATTCCCACGAATAATTATTGCTAATAATATTCAAGTACTAACTTTATATCAATTCAATTTTATTTAAAAAAATTGGAATTGAACTATGGAATGAATAAATTAAAACTAAATCTAAACTTAACAATTAAGGGTTGAATTTACCAGATGAAAGAATTTAAGATTACAACTTCCCCTAATGCTTCGTATAAATCTTTCTACTCTCTTTTCCAGTCAATTGATCAAAATAAGTTGTTAACTGAGAATTCAAAGTTATTTATCAAACCTCTAACGATAGTTAAATAAAATTATCTATCATAATTAAATTACTATATTCCTATGCAAGATAAATTGGAATAGATTCATTAAGTTCAAACTCTCATAAAAGTTACACACGGCGTATAAGTATATTTCTATCCTATACACAAACCCAGCTATTCAATCCTAAGAAGAATAAACTAGACGCATGTCATCATATTTAGATCTAAATCTAGAATTCATCTCCCNATTCAATCCTAAGAAGAATTAACTAGACGCATGTCATCATATTTAGATCTAAATCTAGAATTCATCTCCCAATTTTATCTAGGTTATCAAACTAATTGTTGGTCACACAATCATATATTTAATCACAAAAATATGACAAACAACTCATATAAGATCAATAAGAATTAGAAACGAGAGTAGATTAATTTAACTAGACATAGGTTCCGTTGCAATCTTAATAAAAATTTAGTTCATAATGTAATTGAAAGACATCATTCTAAAATTAAACAACATCTTAGAAAAACAAGAAGTAAAAGTAAGAGAAAAGAATGAAAACTTAGGTACAATCTTCAATCCTTCTCTAACCTTCAAGACTAATCTTCTTTGTGTTGATTTTTTCGATTCTTGTCTTCAATTTTTTTCTAATTTCTTGACTTTTCTCCAATGTTTTCAGCCCCCAAAATTCAGAATATTTTATCCTCATACAAACCCTAGCATATATATAGCCTTAGGGTTAAATTTTTGGGCCCAAAACAAGTCAAAATTCGCATCACGGATTAACACACGCGCAGGGGCGCTGATTTGGACAATGTTTGGGCGCTGGGGCGCGCCTCCTTGTATTCTGCCTGCTCCGGACCAGTCTTCGTAGAATCGTCATAACTTTTGATACAACTGTTAGATTGAGCTGAAATTTTGACACCATACAGAAGACATCCTGATCTACAACTTTCATGTTTTTCACTTTTTCAGATTCAAAGTGGATCATGGTCAAAAAGGCAGAAAACCGAGGTACTACTACAAAATGGTACGCTATAAATACTCCATTAAAATGCCCTTTAGCTTCCTCTTAAAAAATCCAACACTTAGGCTCCAATTTTGACCTTTTTTCCTCCCAAATGGTCATTCCTACAAAATAACATCAAAACACACAAAACGAACAAAAATGAACATAAAATAATTGAAAACTTACAATTTCATTAAGCCGAAAGCACTCAATTCGTAGGTATAAAACCCACTCATCATTAAGCAATCTCAATTATAGAGTAGGGACCACTCGAGCGATCTCAAGATTCCTTGAGCGGCCTGAGG